TCAAATCTTACAGGTTTTGACAATGTTTTTAGTTTCCTGCTTGAAGTCGCTTTTTTCTTGTTCAAAATTATGTATACATCCTTTAAATGCAAGTATATATTTTATGCAAAATTCTTAACTTAACTGGCTTTAATCGAAAAGAGTATCTTTGTTCAAACATTCAATTAAAATGCTAAGTGCAACGTTACCTTGTAAACGCCGGAAGGCAAACGTCTGCCTTACTTAAAGCAGAATAAGTTATGACCTGCTCTAAATTGAGATTCGTTTTAAGTTCTTATTAAGTTTCTTTGAATAAGATATCTCGTTACTTAAGGAAGTTTTGCTTATTCATTAAACTTGTTTTGTAAGTTTACGGGATATTTTACATTACGAAGGGAAATTAGAAAAGGTTCGCTTATAAAGAGCATTACTACAAGGTTACTAAAGATTTATTAATACAATATAATTATAGTCATACAATTTATATAAGGTGACGCTATCAGCCTATTTTAGAGTGGGATAACATTTAAACGTTATATCATTATAGGATGATATTGAAACATTTAGGCATTAAAGAATAATTCATTTGGGCGTAGGTAGTTAAAAGAGCAAAGAATAAATATGCTAGAGATTGAATTTAAACTTCGGGTCGGACCTCTTTATAATGAACAATCTACACGGCACCGTTTGACGGTAATCTTTACAAATTGCTTTCGTTTTCGTTCTCTAAGCTTCTCCGTAATAGAGAATCGGCGCACATTCCTTTAAAAACTTCTGTCTGCGTTTCTAATTATATGAATTAGAGTTCAATAAGAAATAAATAATTGCACTTGTGTATCGTCAATAGTTTATAAGAATACATTCTACATTCATAAATTAGTGCTGTTTACCAACACGTTTTTGTACGATTCTTTTAAGAAACTTTACGTCAGTGCCTATATCTTATTTGCTTTACCACAAAAATGAACAGTCATTTCTATGGCACAACAGTATTTTAAATAAAGTTGCTTCAGTTTTGGTGTTCAGGTAATAACATGTCGGTTAATATGTAATATCTCATGATGTTGTTCCTCACTTTTAAGACGAGCTATGTTCGCTATGTTCAACGTAAGTTTAAAAGCAGCGGTGTTATACTAAAGAAGAACTTGATGGTTTGACGTAGAAGCCAATATGCCTATATTGGCTTCTACGTCAAATCAGGATTCTACGTCAAAAGGATTTAATTTATAATTATATCCTATGTAACTCGATCTGAAGTGTAACTGTAAATGTATTGGTTTTTTATGGAAACATCTGAATTAAAAGAAAATCTTATTCATGGAGGAATGACTTTCAAGGAAGGAGGAATGACATTCAAGGAATGACACGATTAAAAAGTATAAAAGTGCCCTAGGCTACTTTCTGCTTATCCAATTTAGCGGCAATAAATAAAATTGCAATGTGGCAAGACCGGTGTCCCCGCTGCGACCCCAGCCGTGGGGACCCCCGCCGGGGAACCACCCGCGGTCATCGGCGCTAATGGACATTACCTTTGTCTACGTGGACTTATTGACGGAGTGAGCAAATGCACTGATGGGGCGATTATGACCTTTGTTTTGAGTTCATCGTGGGTTCGCGGTGTCGATTTGAGCTGTGGTCGGTGGACCATTGTGGTGCGATATCAACTGATATCTTTCTGTGTATCGTCGATGGTCCCAGGAATTGAGAGATTAACGTATGTTGGCAACATTAAAAATGTCGTTCCTTGTAGTTGTTGGCAACACTAAAAGAAGTGTCATTCTATGGGGGTATAAATGAAGCTGCACGAAGCATTCCATGGTTGTCGTCTTCTTCGTCTTCTTCAGCTGTCAAGAAGGAGTATACGCGATAGTGCTGCGGAATCAGTATCACAGATTAAATAGTTAGAGTTGTGTTTCTTCAGTGTAAAAGTGATAAAATAAGTAATTATACCAGTTTTATTGTCGTGCAAAGTGAAACTACGTTGTTTTGGTAAAAGTATTTATATTTCTACCTTCTTAGCTCGATAAAACAAAGTATAACTAACACGTAAGAGGAAGGTATCTGAATACCTACTGTAGCTTGGGATAGTGTGGTCTTGTGACCGCTTTTCAGGTAAATACCGATGTCGATAAATAAAATTAATATGAGAAATCCGTACAGATTCTAAATTTATATGAAAACCAATGTTAGAAAATTTCTGAGAATTTTCTCTCGGTTTTTCGTGTTAAATAAATAAAATTATGTAAAAGAAGGGAAAAAGTATAGCCTATGTATGTCCCACTGCTGGGCAAAGGCCTCCTCTGTACAGAGGGTATTAAGGCAAAGTCCACCACGCGACCCCACTGCGGGTTGGCGGACTTCACATATCTTCAATTTTTTTTTAATAAGCATTTCTTCACTATGTTTTCTTTCAACGCTGAACACGTGATAAGTCAGCACTTAAAATTACAATTTCAATGGTGCCGGCAACGGGGATCGAGCTCAGGTTCCTCCAGTATATTGTATCAAAGGCGAGCGCCCGGACAATGAGCTACCACGGTTTCGTATAAAATTATCTATCTAACATGAAAAACTATCTACTCACACTTGCGTTTTCGAGCTAATAACATTTTGCCATTTCCCATTAAGATCTATTCTTCGATCTTCGATATAACGGTGGAAATGATCTCTCAAGCATCTAAATACAAAAATTATCACTATCTAATGGTAATTGAATAATTAATGAATGGTGATAAACCAGTAAGTAACGGTCCCGATAACCATTTTAAGATAATACAAGAGCAAAAGGAATGAATCGACGTAGATGAATGTTCCGACGTAGGTTGTACTTCTTCAACCCAGAATAGAAAGTCTCTACAATGTTGTTCGTAAGACTAATTGAAATCAATCTATTTCTTGTCAGATTAAATGAGATTAGTTGTTGTCAGCTCATACTTACTTTGTCGACGCCATATCGTTACTGAATTTGTTTACACACGACTTTTACCCATGTATCAAGCAGAATCACGTCATATAAGAATAGACATCTCAACTTTTTGAGAAATTTTAATTAAATACACGTAGATTCCGACATTAAAAATTATTGAATGTTGCTACATACTATAGGTTTAAGAGTGTAAATAATGTTTTGATTAAGTGGTGTTTCACATCCTATTTTCAGTATTACATGAAAAATGCCTCGTCATCATCATCATTTCAGCCTGTTTGAGTCCACTGCTGAACATAGGCCTCCCCCATAGACTGCCATGAAGTACGATCCTGAGCCACCTGCATCCATCGACTTCCCGCACATTTGCACAGGTCGTCACTCCATCTAGTGGGGGGGCGTCCTACACTGCTATGGCCAGTACGAGGCTGCCACTCGAGAAACTTTCTTAAAAAATGCCTAGCTTACCGCAAAGGAAAGTAAGAAAAAAGTAGGAAGTAAGAGACGTCACAAGGCAAATGCTGTATAGGATTTATTTTTACAATATAAATCATTCAAATCTACGTGCTTAAAACGTTAGACGTTGGCAATTCTTAATCTGTGGCAAACAATATAAGCGAGCGTTCACCAGTAACCATATTAGTCATCAATGTTCAGGTAACAGATTCGATTTCTTGATAACATTTACATTGTCCCTGATCCTATATGGATCTCGGTAATCGTTCGGAAGACGTTGGATGCACGAATCGTTGCTTTGTATATAAAAATAACGGGTCATTTAATAAAACAGCCGCATGCTCTCTGCTTTGATGGTTTTCATATTTGCGACCGCGGGGGGCGGGTTGCTCGTAAAGCGGGCCACCTCTTGCTTGGCTCTCTGCCCGCCCACCTATTTCATTAACGGCACCTAAGGCTGTCCAGATCCGTTTGCTTTTATTAAAAGACAAGCGAATTTCGAAGAACACCGAAGAAGCCATTCCGTTGAGATAACTCGTGGTTAGATAATATCTTTATGTCTCCTGTTGTACCTACGAGTAGTATTGTTTTATGTTACAATTCAACGACTTTGGCAACAAATCGAGATTGCGTGTGAATATAAATTAACATTTAGTTAATTTCGAAAGAATCATCGGCCCCGAAAGAAAGGCCTCCATTATCTGGTAAATCCCCAAATGTTTTCTATAGACACAAATAACGAGCCTCACAGTGTTTTTGTTTGTTGTAAATAATTTGCTGGTCGTGGGAAAAACTTGACCGTGTGACCTACTTACAAAGGACTGTTTGCAAATTCGTACGCTGAGAAGTTTCGTTTTGGCATTTCATGCACAAGATGGATTGTTATTTATTGTAATACTAGATGTGCCCGCGACTTCGTCCGCGTGGAATTTAAAATAAAAATAACCTAAGTTTCTCCTTATTACATCAGCTATCTGCCAGTGAAAGTACCGTACAAATCGGTCCAGCCGTTTCAGAGATTAGCCGTAACAAACAGACGGACAAAAATTGTAAAAAATGTTATTTTGGTATATGTTCCGTGTATATATATATATATATTTACATTTAGTAAAAAGCGGTTATTTTAATATTACAAACAGACACTCCAATTTTATTTATCTGTTTGTATAGATGTGTATAGTACAGTCTCAAATAAGTCTATGATTTTTTTAAACCAGGCCTGTTATCATTATATAATAAATTCTCTATTTTAAATCAGATGATCAGCTATAATCAGATTATGATCTATGTTGATCAATCCGTAATCCCAATAACTTACAACCCACATTGCTTTAATAAAAAAATAAATAAAGTAAACTGTTAGATAAAAAGATACATGCGCAAATATACTTCTACCGTTCTGTTCTTATCGTTAATACGAAAAATATGTACAGGTTGATAAAATAAACAGAGTTCGATACTGATGCTTTGAAAAAACATTCCTCGATCGATTCCCCGCAACGTATTAGACTATTTGAGCAACACACGGACTTTTATTATAATGAAAGCCATCAATTGCAATTAATACGCACCATAAAACAGGTCCGCGTAAACAGAGCAGTAGATTTATAACGTCGATCGACTATAATTTTAGAGATCAAAGCCTGCGCAAAGGGTTCTCCGTCGGCGCTTTGGTGCCGCCGTTATTGTCTAAGTACGTTTTCCGCACCTTGGTGCCGCGCGGCGCCGCACTAGACAAAACAATCGCGTCATCGACCGAAATAAAGCACTTAAACCGCAATCCATCACAACTGCAAGTGAGCGGCTTCTTGGAAGCAATTGCTTAGAGCGTAGCATCTTCAAAGGGGGATCCGGAACTAAGAAGAATCGATTATCGACTCGCTAATAGCTCTATCGGCACGCTTAGGTTTGGTTAACGCCAAGTTAACGCTATCATTGAAATAGTTAAAATCTGTTGGAGATGCCTAATGAGGAGGAAAATGTTCTTAATTTTTTGTTTAAAACGACTCAATGGAATCAATGAAAAAGACCATGTTTACAGCTGTATTTCGGTCTGTTTTTTTCTTAAATTTAACGTCTCTCGATAGTTAGAATATGTTTGTTTATAGATTCTTTTCATGGTATCTGACGTTCTATCTATCCGCTCTATCCGTTCCTTAGATCATTTTCCTCAAACTTAAGGCAGCATTTTGGCTGTATAAATATTTATTTTTGCGCCACATTTATACCAACGTACGATACAGATAATCGTGGATTGCGAAAAACATGTTCGAAGACTAAAAATCCCCAAATATAAAATCTTTTAATTCCGAAATGTATAAAGCCGCCAATCGGAATGAATTATAATCAAAATTGTTTTAACGCGGTCCGATTTCCGTTCTTTTAAAGAGCCAGCCCTCGCCGCAGTTGTCCAAACACGTGTGATGGACGAAATTGGGTCATATTCCGGTAACGTTAACAAACATACCTATTAGGTAATCACGAAGTGCATACCTTCCACGTCGCTCAAATGCGTTGTCGGTCCCGAGGTAAACAGACGCCGCGTCCGTCACTGTCGGCGCGTTTTTAACGCGACCGGATACGTCTGTATGGCTTACGAGGGGATCGGTTTCACGATCTGACCCAATTACATATGATAATATACATCATGATATGATTAACAATGATAAACATAAAGCCGTGATAGCTTAGTGTCTGAGCGCTCGCTTCCAATTGCTTCCTTTTCAATTACTCGAGAAACGTTAGTTCCAATACCGGTCCAATGAAATTGTTACTTGCAATTGTTAGTGCTGAGATATCACGTTCTAGGTTTTGAAGCTGAATATCATGATGGGGACCTGCATGTTTTATAAATAAAAAAAATTATGAAATCTGCCTGTTTGTGATTGGGTCACGTGGTGGAATAAATCCTGATGCCCAAGGGAGGCCTTAACCTAGCTAAGGAACCAGACCGCTGCTTTACTTTGTTTTTAATAGAAAACTTATTCGGTGTAGCAAGAGTATCTCTACGATCAGAATAACTATGAATTAGCACGTAAGAATATCTCTCCTAAACTGACAGTCTGCAAATCAGAGTATGTATAGAAGTGCGTCACTATGCGTTGGATATTTCAATACATTTGCCGTTCGTATATCCAGTTTATTCATCAAAGGATTTCATATGTTTCTGTGCTTCTTGGCCATCAGTCTATACTGATATAAATGTTAATTTTTCCAAGAGAAGACACGTGTTAACAGGCGTTTTGAAGGTCACAAATGGATTTACGGCGACATATCATAATGGAATCCATTGAGACAGTTTTACACACGACCGCTACAAGGTTACGCTCATGCTGACTTTCGGATGGCTTTTGTTTGGCATAAATGCTACCATTAATAACAAGGGATTAGATACAAGCATATTCATTCGGTTCGCCCCGAATTATACACCAGTTCTGTCTCTTATATTTAACGGCATCGAACAAAAAAGTTCTTAATATGAGGAAGTGGCAGCGAGAAAGGGGCTCTCCTCACTAAGTGCTTACCATGAACATCTATAACATGTTATGATAATTGCGTAGTCCTCTTCTCTTGATAAACAAGTCTTGAACTGGTATCGATATAAATAAACCGTCGATTACACACCGGTAGTTACTACAACATGTTCATCGAACGGCGTGAAATCATCCTATAAAATACAAATCCATTACCATGCGTCCAGATAACGCGGCTGACAGATGTTTACGTCCGCCCGCGATTCGCGTTTCAATTCACCTTTCGCCTAAATGCACCGTCCTATGTATGCCCACGCGCCCGACACCTGACTGGCTTCCTCCAGGCCTTTGATGCTTTACGCAATTTGGAAGTGTGACGTCTATTTGGAGCGAGCAAACATTGGCTTTAGCCGGAGAACGGCTAACCATTTCGCTTCTTTTCGCTTCTTCGCTTCTTTTTCTTTTTAGTTACCCTTACTTTAGGATAACATTATCCTGTGTTGTAAGGACGTTTTACAAACATATATTTCACGCGGACAAACACCCAGATGCGAAACAACTATCTGTGCGTCACACAAATAGTTGTCCCGTGTGGGAATCGAACCCACGACCCCCGACGCCGAAGCCGATACCCCGGCGACTGCGTCATTTCGTGAATGGAGCCGTGAATGGATAACTCTTTGTTTAGAGTAGGTGGCAAATGGGAGTCATTCCACCTTAGTTGCAGAAGAAGACTGTGAAGAGTGACGCCCAAATCGTACCCTTCCATCACGCATCCAGAGTGGCCTCAATGAGCACTCGGAGCGGCCTTCTTGGGCTGGTCTTCCACCAAAGGCTGGCCCAGTTCAGGGTTGGTCTTGACTTTCACCGTGGCTTCTACCACGATAAGGCGAGAACCCGGTCAGAAGGGTTCAATCCCGCAAAAAAATCCTAAAGTTGCATACCCAAAAATCACAGATAAACGTGTGCTAATAACAGCTACGTGCTATCATCAAAATAAACCTAGAGCTACGTAGATAATGTTCTTCATGTTTAATATAATTATTTACTTTTTTAGTTGACAAAACGATAAAATTGCCCTGGTTCAGGGATGCTGTGTGTAGTGTATGCAAGAAAACACGTTAACGTAAGATACACGCTACAGAACAATAAAGCGGTATTCTGTTGAACGTGGCAAACAGACAGCAACGCCAGCTTTAGACGGATTCCGAAACACGGTTTAATGGCGGACCGACGATTAACATCCAATGGTGCACCTTCACAACACCTGGTCGGGGACGTAAACCCAGTTAACGATCTGGCCGTACCAACGGTCAGTGCGCGCTATTATTCGGCAGCCATTAAACTGGTCGAAGGAACTCATGGCCCTAATACATTGGGTGTTTCACGTGCAACTACCTGTCGTACTATTCAAATTTAAACGCACGTCGTAAAAAAGTACTAATTTACGTTCAATTTTTGTTTTAGTTGCTGAAGTTTCAAAGACTTTAAAGACTGCAGTAGTCACTGGAGGGACAGATATCTTCCGTTCTAATTTCATACTCCGGGTTAGTTTCAAGTTTTTAATTATTCCTTTGCGTTCTATTTTAATTAAAAGATAAATTTATCGAGATTATTACGTATTTTGTTTATCTAACAATGTGTTATTCGCCTAATCCTCATTGTCAAACTCATTTATTTTATTATAGGTTTATAAAAATGGAAGTCAGTTCCATGATTTTTTTAAAGGTGTTTAACTTTATGCATCAAGACCACTTTTTAGTTAAAGAGCTACCATAATACTTCCCTATGTCAGAAAACTATAATTTCCAGGGGCAGCATATCAGCCGTAACTTTAAATAATCAATGGCACCAAAAGTGAAGACGCTTAACGGAAAAGTCCAATGAGCATCCCAATTTGTGTCAGAAACAGCCTAATAAAGCTGTGAAAGTGACACGAATCACGTTGTAGATCCTCTACCTGCGGAAGAGGGGAAGGGCAATTATATTACCAGCGGTGAATCGCTTCACCAAACGTGGCTTATTAATCTACTCAGTAAACAATGAGATCGAGCGTCGAATAACGTCGACTGTTCGGTTTTTATTTCGGCCGTGCGTCGAAGGTTTATATTTAGAGGCGGAATGCGGGTGGATGTCGGGGCGCGGCCAGGATTTATGCACGGTACCTGAATTCTATTCGTGGCACAATGCGCCAACGCGCTCCTAATTTCGGTGCATTAACGGATTTTTGAAGAGCTCACAGCCGTCGGACGAATGCGATCGAACACGAATCCCAAATACCGCGACCGAAATTTGTCGTACACCGAAGATGTGGTGTTATGATGATCGAAAACAGGCAAAAAGTCTCAAAAATTCCATTATACTGGATTTGTGAAACTGGAATTGTTAATTTTGAGTGTGTACTTAATGTGTCTACTTAATTCTAAATAGTATAAGAAGTCTTGAGAAGTTATACAAGTTTTTGTATGGGAACTACTACTATTTAATACAAAGAAGCCAAGAGGAACACTGAGAAAGATTTGGATGGACTGTGTGAATTGGGTAAAATAGGTCTGTGAAATCGGTGAGTATTGACATGACCGCTGATAGAGGAAAGGAAACCCACACTAGGTGGAGTCGAGTCGAAATTCAAAGTTATTGTGATAATTATGTTACTATTCAAATATACTCTATTTATGAGGAGACAATAAAAATTGGGTGTCTTGCATGTGGCACGGCAACTGTCTTATAATTAAAGAACTTGTAAAGATGAAAAGATGGACTGAAAATGAATAGTGAGGCCTCTTATGAAACTTCTGACGGTCAAAAGTTTAAGTACTCAGTAATAAGCATAGGACATAAGTAGGATGCGAAGATAGATGCCCAGTCTAGCACTGTGCGTTCAAGAATAACATTTGCAAGGAATGAAGAGGTTAAGATTATAAATTAAAAAAATATTTATTTACTTACCCTGTTATAAATTCAGAACCTAGAATCGTGTTTCCTATCAATCAAAAAACAACATCGTACTGAAAAATCATTCGTAACGTCTAACACGCTGGGAACTTTACAAAAAAGTTTTCTATATAAACAAATCTATAAATCTCGCGGTCATTTTTAATATTCACTAAATGAGACGATTCCCCGTTGGTGGAGACCGATTAATAAATGTCGCGTGTAAATTTCACTAAAGAACCGTTTTCTGTTTGGAAAGATTGCTGCGGTGCCGCAGCGGACGATCTATTTCCCGTTTGTCATAAGAAAAGGCCAGCGCCGTAAGTCAAGCTCCCAATAACCGTTAAACTCGCCTCATTCATATTGTTAAGGGATTATAATAACGTCAGAATGTCTCATATAGTACAACTGGTGGTATAGACACAACTCACCTCGTAGGTTATGTTACAGATTAAAAATTTATTTCTCCGTGTGCAGTTTGTTATGGTTCACATTATTTTCCTTTTGTCTATATTAAATAGTTAAAAAAATGTCGGATTGTCTCATATTCTAGCTTTGTGTTGAAAACGAATAAATGACTGTCCGCTTAGGTTATGCTATATATTTAAAAATAAACTCCGTGCGTAGTTTATTGCTATTCACATTTTTTTCATTTTGTTAAAATTTATAAGTCAATTTATAAAGGGGGAATTAAAATGAAATTTATTTGACATTTAAGAAGTTTAAATTCAGTAAACATGTTTACACAGGCTATTATAATTTTAATGTATAAATCTCTAGGAAGAAAACGAAGGAATCTCTTTGAGATATTAGATATTTTTCATTTCGGTCTTAAAAAAATTGATAGTCGCCACAAATCGAAGAGAGAAAGAGCCCGTACCAAACACAAGGAAAAGTATTTTCGTCCCGTTTGGAATCCAATGCTACTTTATTCTGAATTTTTTTTTCTGATAGTAGACAAAACTTCATTGGACCAGGTACAAGGGTGATTTTCGAATCTTAAACGAGTTCTGTACGAGGTGTAGTGACGTGATCTTCAGACGTGTTACACTGGTTGACAGTGCGCGAAATTGGATGAAAAGCAATTAATACGACGATGTTTTGAGGGCGTACGTGGAACGTCCGGTGAGCGGTGACAAGGTTGATGTGATATTATGAAAGTAGGATGTTAATAAAAATCACCCGGTGTTTATTTTTTTCGCAAAAAGCAACGCTGCGCGCAAAAAAAGCGGCGGTCTTACGTTAATTTCGCGTTATAACCACTTCCCGTCATAATTATTTCGTCATTGTTGCCGGCCGAATAATTTTATATTTTACATCGTATTACGCCGTGAATGTTAATTGATATGTCAAGGACATTTTGTTGATGTCGGGGAAATGCCTACACATGCCCGCCCTCGCGGGGGCAAGAGCGGGTTATGTCGGACTCGCACCGACTAAAACGCCCACGATGTTACGCCTAGGCGCATATCGGCATATGTCACGGGAACGCTTTCGCACACTTCCGCGACCCTGCCAGCGCTGGCCGCCTTAGCAGCCCCCTCACGGGGAGCAACTCCCCTCTCGTCCAGGTAAGGCGCGCTGGAACATTCAGTGCGCCTTCATTGGCCCCATTTTCACGGCCCCGAGTTCACGAACGAACACGGTTCAACGAACTCCCCCGAGTTCGCTGACCGGGGCCATGGGAGCCAGGAGAGCCAGTGCTAATAAGCAGCAAGCCTCCCAGCCCCCAGCGGCGGACCTGGTCTGTGGCTCCGCCACTCACCACGTTTCGACCGCGGAGGATAGGGAGAACGGCGCACCGCATTACCGACACTCCTCTCCCCCCGCGGCCCCACCACCACTGCATCAGCGGTGCAGCCCCGCCGAGTCGCGGAGGATAGGGAGCACGGCCAACACAATACCGACACTCCTCTTCCCCCGCGACTCCTTCTCGGTAGCAGAAGACAGGGAGAGTGGCTCCACCTCTGCCACCCTCGACCTGTCCCCTGCACCCTCCAGCACGCATCCAGAGTGGGCTCAATGAGCCCCCTCGGAGCGGCCCTCTCGGGCCGGCCTTGCACCACAGGCCGACCCAGTGTGGGTTCCTCTTAGCTTCGCCGTGGGGGACCAAGCCACGGCTACTAAGCCCCTCCGCCACGTCAAGGCGGGAACCCGGTCGGAGGGGATCCTGTGACACCTGCATCCATTGACTTCCCAGTTCATCGATTTGTTTGTACAGGTCGTCACATATAAGGACATAAACGTGTTCTTATATGTTATTGTAATATCACCCATATCGGCAAAACAATTGAAATAGAAAGCTTTAGTAGTGTGCTTTTAGGATTCAACATGTTTTTCTATTATCTCTAAAATTTTATACAACACATCGCCATTACTTTGAGAAAAAATGTGTTTAGCAAATATTGGCAACAGCTCTCCGGGATTTTTCTTACACGTTGGAGCTACGCGTGTAAAAGTCATCAACCCCATTGTTGATATTATTATTGGATGAA